TGCAATTACAATTATTTTTAATTTTAAACATAATGTTGAAAAAGAATCTATGTTAATATAATATGATATAAAGATTACCTGAACGATTTCTTGTGTACACAAAGTAAAGGAGTCTATATGCCATGAACTCTATCATTTGACCTGGAATATTTAATCTGTAAAGTTCCTTTAGTTGTGTTTGACATTGATTATACTCACCCACATCGCCCTAATAAATAAATATCCAAATGCAACGTATTTAAAGTCATTTTATATTCCAAAAATATATATAACATCAAATAATAACCTTTTCTAATGCTATACGAGCATGTATTTCATATACTTCAACTGTAAATTCATCTTGGATATGTTGAACCTTGGGTTCATTATATATATATATATATATAAATAAAATTTTTAATTACTATTTTTTTTTTTAAAAAAAAAAAAAAAATCAAGACAGTTAGTTAGCCAACCGTTAAATCTTGACGTAAAGATTTAAATTGGTCACAAATGTATGTGTAATTTTTTTCTTCTGCCCATTTATTTTTCAAAACTTCAATTGTTTTCTTTAAGACACGTAATGGCCTTACTGTTGAAGGATCTGGTGCCTGATAATGATAAATTTAAGTGTATTTGACATAGACTAGAAATTGAATACTTACAACAAAGTCTTACTGAATATATAATAAATACTCACTGATGTTAAACGTAAATATTGCTTTTCAAGTTGTTGACAAGTTCCAACAATAGTTTGTTCCATGTTTATTACATCTAATTCCTATGTTACATTTATAAATAAAAGGCTTTTTTTATAAGAATAATCAAAAAAATAACATTTTGTTATTATTCATTCTAAAAACTTTACTGGTTCCTTAGATTCCCAGTGTAATTTATTCGTTCTATCATGTGCTTGAAATCTTTTTGCACGTTTCTCTCTTTTATCAAGTTCATTGATATCACTATCACCTATATCTTGTTCAGGTGATCTACTAGAAGAGTTAGAATCAAATAAATAAAATTTATTAACAATATTCAATAACCTTCAAAATATATACCCTCTTCGTTTGTTGCTATCTCTCTCTTTGTTTGGACTAATCAATAGAAAAATTTAGTTTATTATTTATTTTAAAAAAAAATATTGGAAAGACTTGAGCCTTTTAAAATATTTTTCGAGTGCAAAATTAAAATTAACAATACCCAAATTTACCTTGGTGCATAGCAGCTTGGAGGTAATTCGATGTTTTTCCAATCAGTAGTCCACATTTGGTTTGTTCTAATTTTTTCTTCAATTAAAATTTTAAGTTCTCTTTCAACAGCATCAGTATTGTCTGAGGCAACGACATCGAAACTTTTTCTCAGATATTCCCTATTAATAAAATTATAATTATCAATGAAAAGAAACATATATACTAATATATAGAGTAATAATAATATTACAATATTGTTATAAATAATAAAATGGAAATACTTGCTTTAAATCAGGTGGCCATCTATTTTCAGTAATAGTTTGGGTTCTAAAATTACAGATTTCGAATATCTTTTTTTTAATAAAATATTTTCAAGATTGTTTTCCTTCCACAAAAAAAAGATATTTTTTTTCCTACTTACTCTGCTGGTTTTTCTTGATTTGAAGTAGTTACATACATGATGTCAAAGTGAAAAGCTTTGTATAGTTGATAAAATCAAATTAAATAGTCTATGATCAAATTTAAAAGTCGTTATAACGATAAGTTAAAATAATTTTAGATAGAGCAAAAAATATTTGTTGTGATCAACATAATTTTAAAAGTTTTATTATTGATTGTTACCTTCATTTTTTTTTTTTTTTTTTTTGGAAATCCTCAAGTTTCCAGGATTTAAATTCCTCGCGAAACAGTTGACAATAATTTTAGTAGTTTTTTACCAAGAGAAATTCTAGTATATTTGCAAAACAATTCAGTAGTTAAGTGTAGAAAGGGGAAGCAGATTGTCATTTGCAGAATCTTTCTAAAGAAATACAAAATTATATTAAAATCTATATTGCAACCTCCATCCTCAAAAATATTTTACTGCCTTGTAAAGAATTAGGTCAAGAAATTTTCATAGATGGTTTTATTCACGGTCTAGGTTTGATCTGGAAATTTTAGGGACAGCGAAGATAGATGTTTGAAATGTGTTATTAGTTTTATTAGGTTATAGGTGTTTATGTGTTTACTCCATCTGCTTGCGACGTTTGTTATATGTGTGTTAAAAAATGGTTTCAAGACACTGTATTACAATTTGAAGAGAACAGTTAGAGATTGAAGATATTTATTTCATGGGATCCTGATTAAAAAGAAATTTTCTGTTTTCATCGCAATTGTTTGCTTTCCTTCAATTTAAAAGGGGTTATTAAAGAGTTTCTTGTTTATTACATTAAATATAGAACCACGATAAAACGACCTATAAAAATTTTTGTTCTGAAGCAAATGTTTCAATAAATTTTTAGTATGAACCAATCAATAGTTATAATAATTAATAATTAATTAATTGTCCATAATATGTTGAAAAAATATTGTAGCAGGAATAAGTGAAATATCGAAATATTTAACATAGTCTAGTTAGTACATTATCTACTTCAACTGAAAGTTATCTATACTTGCCTTTGGCAACTATTTACTTTTTATTTAATTTATTTAATAACAATAAATTTTTTGTGTGATTGTTTTGAAGTTGGGTACGAAATTCCTTTGATTGGCTAATTTAATTTTCACGTGTATGAATTTTAGAAATTTCATTTCAATCTTCTATCAAATTTTTTTTAAAAAATGTCCAGCAGTTTTTCATCAGTAGAAAATATTCAAACATTATTTAATAGTCTAGCAGATTTAAATAGTTATGCCCTACCACTAAAATATACTAGTAAACTTGTAAATGATTTAACAAAGTTATTGAATGAATCAGATTTTTATGATGTAGAAATTAGAGTTGGAATGGATGAGGATGTTAAAACTTTTAAAGCTCATTCTACCATTTTAAAAGCAAGATCTTCATATTTTAAGGCTGCTTTATCAAATAATTGGGCAAAGAAATCTGATGATGGTATCATTTTATTTGAAAAAAAATATATTTCTCCAAATGTATTTGAGGCTCTTTTAATGTAAGATTATTTTAGCTTGATCAATTAATTAATTGAATGATTAATTATAAATAATTTAAAATTACTTATTTTATAGATATATTTACAATGGGACCATTAATATAGATAATCTGGATGAAAATGAAAACTTTGAACTTCTTGAGGCATGTGATGAATTAGGCTTTAATGAATTAATTGAAGATTTACAAAATCACTTGATCATCAAAAAGAAAGAATGGATTCAACAGAATTTAGTTTATGTTCATAAAATTTCATCACATCATCAATCATTCAACTTACTTCATGATTATTTTGATGAATTAATTAGTGATAATCCAGAATCATATTTTGAATCTGATGATTTTGTTGATATTGAAGAATCAACACTTGTGTCTATATTGGAAAGAGATGATTTAGAAGTAAAAGAAATTAGTATTTGGGATCGTGCTATTCAATGGGGAATGGGACAAAGTGAAGAATTTGAAAAGGATATTTCAGTGTGGAACAAAGATGATTTTATCAAGATGAAGAAGATATTAAAAGATGTTATTCCATTGATAAGATTCAATCAAATTGCTTTAACTGATTTTCACAATAAAATCGAGCCATTTAAAAGTTTTTTTGATGAAGAAATTTATAAAGAAGTATTTGAATATTATCTTGGCAATAATAAATGGCAACCAAGATTATTACTTCAAAAAGATCCAAGAACAAGAACAGTAACTTTATTAAATTTAAAAAAAAAACGTTTAATTTCAAGTTGGATTGACAAAAATGATGTATCTTATGAATTTGAATTAATTCTTCAAGGTACTCGAGATGGCTTTTCTAGATCTGTCTTTGAAGAAAAATGTTATAATATTGAACAGACTGTAGTCATTGTGAAAGTTAAAGATACAGGAGAATTAGTTGGTGGATATAATCCAGTTTGTTGGAATATAAGTGGAGAATCTCCAGATTCACTATATTGGATCGAAACAGATGAAAGTTTTATTTTTAAGATTGATGAAAATCAAATAAATAATTCAATATTAAGTAGAGTCATTGATATTAAATATGCAATATTTCATGATCAACAAGTGATTAGTATGAATGTAGAGAATATAAATTTTCACGAAATTACTATGAATTTTGTGGATTTACAGATATTGAATAGCACTGATAATAAACCTTATTATTATTTGGGTTACTATCCTTCTTATGAATATGATTTAAAACTTAAAAATAAACCCAGTCAAGTCCATTTAATAGAAGAATGTGAAGTTTATAAAATAGTAAAAAAGAATTAATTTATTTAAAATAATTTACTCTGTATTATTAAAAATTATTATATTATATATAGCATTTATAAGCATTATATTAATTTTCTATTTAAAATAAATGTCAAATTTCAATTTATCATTTTAAAAAATTTCTGCAGTCGGTAAATCTAATTAGTAAGATACTATTAAAAAGGCAATGTGAATTAATATTAAGAATTTTCGAACGGAAAATTTAACATTTCCAAATGACTTAATTATTTTATCATTGACTGATAAAGGATGGGTTAAATCTTATATCAGACGTAATAGTAATATATTGTTATTATGATTATTATGATGGAAAAATCAAAGTCGGCATAGGTGGAGGAGATGTTAAAAGCTTTAAAGCTCATTCCACTAAAAAAAAATCTGGCGATGATATCATTTATTTGAAAAAGAAAATGCTTCTCTGATGTATTTAAGCCATTTTCAACATAAGATTATTTTGATTTATTAGATAATTAATCATTGAATGATTATAATAATTTAAATCATTGATTCCTTATAAATGTTTACAATGGAGTTGTTAACGTAGATAATTGGGTGTAAATGAAACCTTTTGAACATCTGATCTTAATTATCGAAAAAAAAGATGTATTTAGTTTACATTCATTGAATCATCAATTGTTCAATTTCTTGAAGTTTTTCACTTCAGTTTTTTGAGCCGTTGCAGTAGCTTTAGGCGCAGCTAAAGCACCTGTTTTTACATCTCCCACTACTAATATTCTGCATCTTGGCAAATTTTTTAATTCAATAAGTAAAGGCGGATATTTTACATCTCCATCATTACGTTTTTTTTTTTGGATTTTCATTTTCATTGTTTCTCCAACACTTCTTGAATCTCTACCATTTCTAATCGTTTATTAGGTAAAATAATTGCTTTATATATATATATATATAAATAATTAATATAATTATATAATCATTAATGAAAATAAAATGATTATAAATTTCTCAGTCATTTTTAAGAATATAATAAAATTTCAAAGAACTATCATAGAGTGGACGTATGTTATGTATGTACCCGCGTTTGGTAAGTTGACTATTTATGTTTTTAAAAAGCCAAGAAATCAGCAAATAGAGAGGGAATGATGTTACTAAACTGGAATAGCAATTAGTACATTTAATGAGAATAAAGAAGAATATATTAATCAAGAGTTAATTGAAGAAAAATCAACAAATGAGATCAACAACAAAGTGAAAGTAAAGGCAAAGGAAAATTAAGTTCGCTCAGTATGAATTTATACTTCTGGGCTAATTAATCTCAGTAGATATTGGATAATTAAAAAATTATGGACAAGAATAAAGTCTCTTCTTCTCCACATATCATTCATTACCTTAAATTTTTGACCTGTTTTAATATTATTAATGTATCTTCTGAATTGAAAAAATTATTAATATTTTTAAATAGAAAAGGATAATAATAATAATAACTTGTGGCTTGAATAAAACGAATAATTCGAATAAACGAATAATTATAAAACGAATAAAGAAATCCCCCAAATAATTCGAACTAATACTAATACTAATATTAGTATTCGAAATAATTTGTATTATTAACATTACGAATAGAAACTCTAGCTCAACTCAAAAAAAGATTTTTAAATTCTCATAAATATCCGAGGAAATTTCACATAGTCAAACTCCACTTCAACGAATCTTATTACGTGATTAGTAATTTGTTATAACGAATTTTAAATGAACTATTTTCAATGGCCTGCAAAATCGTGATCTTATTACTGAATTTTATTTCAATTGTTTTTAATTGATTTTTCATTTTTTCCGTTGATTTAGATGAATAAAAGCCAGTGATATAAAATTACGGATATATACTACTAAGCAACATGCTATTATTACGTGGGTTTCTACAAATTTGCGTAAATACGTAATCAAATACTTAATATATTTATATAAATAAAAAAAATTCTATTAGCTATATTTATTTTTTTTTCAAATTTATTTTTTATCAATTATTTGAAATACTTCTAATTCATCATATTTACTACCACTTATTATATTAATGTCATTATAAGAAGATGAACTTTCCACAAGAATATTATTATTTGATTGAAAACGAAGATCATGACCACCACCAAAAACAGCTAAATATGAAGAATGACAGCGAATTGCATTATGATTCTTAATAACATAACTAAACTTTGCAGTATAAATATCATTTCTATCACTAATGTTAAAAATATAACTTTCAGTTGTACTTTTCCATATACCAGCTCCATTATTTAAATTCCAATCAAGTGGATTATAACCTCCTACTAATTGATCTGAATTTTGTATTTTGCCAACTACAAGAGTTTTATTGATATTATGACATTTTTGACGAAATATAGTTCCACTTAAACCATCTCTACTACCACAATATATAAGTTTAAATTCGTATTTAAGATCTCTGAATGAATTATATTGTGGGATT